ATATATATATATATATATATATATATATATATATATATATATATATATATATATATATATATATATATATATATATATATATATATTTCCTTCGTGTTGATTCTTCTTTCTTTTCGCCCTACCTTTTCGTTTTATTCGATTAAGGAGCTCAGCAGGCTTTGAGAAATCGGATGTCATTTATGTTAACTCTGGTCTTTTGCATCCTTGGAAGTTACGCACACTCGATTATCTCAACGTCTGTTAGGACTCAAACGAGAGTATTATCCGAACTGTCATGTGTTGTTATTGTTGTTGTTGTTGTTTCTTATAATAACATTGTGTGAATATTAACCTATGCTGAAGGCATTCTCGCAGAAGCTTTCTCCAGTGGTGAACAACAGGACACCCCTCAACAGTCTACCCGAAGGTGGTAACTTCTTAAACCGAAGAGACTTGACGAAGGTGCTAACAGAAAGGAGGTGAGAGACATAAAAGAGAAGTATAAGATGTCAGCATCGAACAAAGTGCTTCAGGCGTCAAGACAAGGACAAGCTGCGTAAAGGATGGGGGTGATGCGTGTGCCTCTTGCAAGAAGAAAACACGGTTAGTGAAGCTGATGCGAAACCCCGGTGTAATACGACATAGACAAAACGGCACAGAGGCTGAAGCTTTTAACTTGACATCGGCCCGAAGGATACCAGCAACATCAGCGCTTAGGCAATCAAATGACTGGATTCCTACATGTTGCCGTGCTTAATGGAGATATAAGATGCAGCAGTTGTCTTTAAACAATGATTTAAATGGATAACAGATGAGGTCACGTTGACATCGTCTGTCCAACATAATAATAACTACACCCACTCTAATCCATTTCTCATGTATAATAATATGTAAGCTGGACGCTGTCGAGCAGACGCACCAACTTGATGAGTTCGAAATAGGTATTATTGGGAAAGTAATTCATAAGGTGAGTACGCACCAATGAATTTGCAAGAAACAAAAAGAATTTCTTTTTTGGTAGTGACAAAATTTTGGTACTGTTAGAAATCCATCGTATGGTTAGTGAAAAACGAGAGTTCATCTTATCGACCTGTAAGGAGATATTTGGTACTGTAAGATCCTTAAAGAATGATATATTAAGAGAATTTTTTTTATAAAAATATTGTATGATTGTAGAGAGAGAATATTTTTTTTTATTTTGATTTAGTAGTAATGCAGTGCCACCATTGACCGAACTGCAAAATGCTCTGTTGAGTTTCCGTCTCATGGCACTCCCAGTCGTCTGTCTAATTTTCACTGGACGGCAGTTTATTTTCCCACATCAAGAATCATTTACTCTTTGATGAGATAAAGAATTAATAAGCTCGATCACTATTGCTACTCACCTCTGAGATGGGTTTCACATTACAATTTATAGAAGGTATTTGGCTAACAAAAGTCAGATGCACATGAAATCGTTTTAATAATGGAAATTGTTTTGTCTGCCATCGGCATCATCCTCCTCTCTCTGTCTCTCTCTCCCTCTCTCTCTCTTTCTTTCTTATTTCTCCTTTTCCTTTCCCCTGCAAATCATTATTTGATAACCTATTGCCTTTAAACTACCAACAAAACTGAAATCAGCAAAGCACCAATCTAAAATTGAAATTTGGCTCTTAAGAATGTGAACAAAAAACTGTTTTCTACAAAATACTGCCCTATTTGCAACATTTTCGAGTATATGTTAGTGGTAAGCATGACCTGAAACAGAATCACTTTTGCCTATGTTTAAGAATCAATAAAAGTATATCGCCTAACATAAGTAATATTTATAACAAAAAAGTACTGTAATCACTTTTGGCAGAGATAAAGCAGCCTACATAAACAGGAACTGTACCCGAGTAAGAGCCAGCTCATGAAGCTCATGTTATTGACACCAAGGAATGGGAAGGAAAAAAAAAACCATGACACAACTAAAAAAAGAAAATTTTCAAGTATTCAATCTGTATGCTTTTCCTATTAAATCATAAAAATTATATTCATGTTAACTGTGGTTTTTATGGTGCAAAATCAAACAATTTCTTAATCAAGAGAAAGGCTCTTCTTCATGGTCTCATAGACTAGATAAGTAATACCAGCAGCCGGCACTACTTTGAGCAGATTTGGGATTATCCCCTTGTAGAATCCTAAAAGTCCTTCGTTTTTGAGTGTTCTCCAGAACACATCAGACATTCCGTAATAGTTATTGGATGGATTGGTGCGCTGGGCTTGCATTCTGCAAGTGAAGGCAAGGAGTTAACCGCAAAAGATTTAAACACAAATCGTTGAATCCATGAGCCGTAGCAATGTTATCAATCATCAGCTACCTTGTTCTGATAACCTGCAAAGGGTAAACACATGTTGCTCCAAGAGCACTTGAGATAGTTCCACAGCCTAATTGCATGAGTGGACCTGGATCTGCATAGCATTTGAGACTATCAGATCTAGCTAGCTGCATGTAAAATAACTTGAAAGAGAAATGTGAACATGATCAAAGTTTCTAAAGGAGCTGAGCTTACCACTATTCTTGAGAATATATGTTCTAGACATATCTTTTAGGGTCTCGTATGCAGCAAGATCTATCCCTGCAAATGGAATGATTCCAAGAAGAGATGGGACGATCCCTCTATAGAAAGCTCGAGGCCCCTCGTGCACCCAAATATCTCTTGTAAGCATAGCAAGATTGGGAACCTTACCAGCTTCACAGGCATAGGTCTGTAGTCTTGTTTTCACGAGATCCATTGGATAAATAACAGTCTGTGACACTGCACCTGCAATACCTCCAGCGATCAGACGCTCAGAGGCACCGATATTACTCTTCTCTTCTCCTTTGCCTTTGACGATGAAATCCTTTAGGATTTCAAATGTATAGAACTTTATTGCACTTTCAGGTGTGACCTTTATCACATTTAAGCCATTCCCCCTGAAAAAACTCAAGAAACCACCCTCTCTCCATATGTCTTTTATCGCCGGCAAAATTCGTGCCCGTGTTGTCTGGACTTGCAAAGCTACTTTAAGTCTGTCAAGAGGAGCAGTAGCTGTCCGAGAAGCTGCTCCGGCTACCCCTCCTGCGATCAAGTATTTGCTTGGATTCACATGTTTACTTATACCTTCTGGGATAACAGCCTGTTCACCAATATCCACAAGACAAACTCTTTCCCAGTACTGATAGATGTTCTCAATCGTTGCCTCATGGGGGTAAAGTAGAAGAAAATCTCTCCATTCCTCAAAAGTTATAATCCCATTGTTATCCTTATCGACGTGCTCTACGAAACGAGCAAGCTCCTCATCGTCAATATCAATCCCTGCAAAAGAGAGAACAGCAGGCCTTGATGTTAATTCCATAGCGGAAGAAACTGGTCAATGCATTCGAGAAAAACTGAAGCAAATTTGAAGCCTTCGCAGGTAATTGCAAAGTTGAAACATATGCCGGAAAATCTTGCATGCTTCCAGCTGACTACAAAGCACAAACTGGGCTGGCCGTGATCGAATGATAAAGGCAACCAGAAGCAGTCACTTTTGTGATGTTTGGTCTGTAATATCACTATGTGAAGCTCTGTACTCTTGCAAACATAACCATGTAACTTCGAGTATTTGTTTAAGCATAGCACTTCAGACAATGAGCAGAGTATATTCAACAAATAAGCAGATGGATCATGCAAATGTCATGGCAGGAATTGAAGAGACAAAGTGTAAGATTTCTGTATAGTGGTGGATCTTCTAGAGATTTGCTTATTTCGTTAGGAAAGGAAAAGCATAATCCCATTAACAACATATTTTTTATAATTAATAATAGTTTTGCATTTAGAACAGGATTTGGCAGCAAATTTCTTCTTGGAAAAAAATCTTAAGCTTTTGCAGAACCTACAACATGAACAGCCCTAATCAGCAAACCTGTATGACCGGGAAAAATAAGAAACCTAAAAGACTAAGATAAAACTGTCATAAACCATATGACAAGTTGGCTGTTCGAAGGTTATGGAAATTCCATAAATAAAAACAGCACTAGTTTTCCTGTCCATTGCTTGCCTCATCTATCGGCCCAAACAGTTCGAACTTACGGTTTTGTTGTTGTTGTTGTTATATTGCTTGCCTCTTCTGTAGTAAAAGCAGATGGCTAGAGAGATTAGGTGGCATAGGAGCCATTGGATGGTCCATGGTTGCCTCTCCAATCACCTGCCTAACAAGTCGGTAATGAATGCAGGAATCATGTGAAAAATGTGTTTCTGAACTAAAAAACATGAAACAATATCTTGGTCTCCTCATGACAGATCTAACTACTTCAGCATAGTTTCTATAGATTCAGTTACTTCCCATACAAAAGCCCCAATTGAATCAAGATCCTGCTACATAGAAAAAAACCAAAGAAACTTAAACACAGTCAAAACTCCTAATCGTAAATAAACTGAATAATTAAACCATAAAGGACAACCATGATGTCAAAGTCAAAGCAAAGAAAATTTGAATGCATCGTAACTTTGACTTATGCTTATTCATCAACAGATTAAACTGGTTCTTCACCAGGTTCAGAGTCACAGTTTTAGTTTCAGTTATGACTGAAACATTCGGCAGTTTTGGGTTTTGAGAATTCCAAGTTTAGATGTGTTAACATTTTCCGAAACCAGAACATTAGAGAAAACATACTAGGAATGATCCAGAGGCTTAGATGAGATAATAAATTAATAATCAGTGTTTGATCAGGTGCAATGACTACCACTAGAAACAATGATGATGGCACAACCAAGTTTAACATCACCAATCTGTACAACATCATGCATCTTCAGCAGTTCAGAACATGGTAAACCTCTGTCCTATAAATTAATCATTCATGGTCTTGTCATATAAAATTCAGTTTGGTAAACCTCTGTCCTTGAGACATGAGTAAATTATAAATTAAAATTGTCAAAACACAATAACAAAGGAGAAGCAAAATCAAGGTCAAAACTTACAAGCCAACAATTCAGAGGCGAGGAAGGAAAGAAAACGACAGGGGATCAAATGTCTTAACTTTGTTGACTTTCTTCGCCTAAAAGAATTGCTCCTGAGATGCATTGAAGACATTTATAGATGATGATGATTAAAATTAATATCTAGTGATACCAATTTTTTTATGACTATCAAATTTAGAATCCCAAACTCGGATAAATTAGGTGCATCTATCAAGAAATATCAATGGAAAATCGACTCAGTGTTATCTCAAAGATTTCAGAGATCTGATGTCAATGCTTTGCTATCCCAAATGCCCATTGGACATGCAGAGGAGATATCATTTCCTATCAATGGCAGATCTGTGTTGTCGATTATTTTACCTGCCTTGATGAGAGCGTCCCATAGCTCCTCCGGCAAGATGCAACCGTTGTGCTCGACGTCGATGGCCTGGAAGATGCGATAGAGCTCGAGCTCCTTATCGTCCATGTAGCGCCGGAACTCCTGGTAGTCGACACGCCCGTCCCGGTTGGCATCGCACACCTTGAGGAGGTCCCTGGCGTACTTGTACTCGGCGGGGACGCGAAGGGCGGATAGGCCGGAATCGATCTGAGCGTAGTCGAGATGGCCGACGCCGGCCGCGTCGAAGAAATTGAAAAGGCTCCGGACCCGGACCTCCCTCTCCTCCCCGGTCTCGCGCAGGGCGAGGAGCACGTGGTCCATGGAGACCGGGCCCGGCTTCTTCACCGGGTTGCAACCGTCCGGCCGCCGCCGCTGCTCGCCCTCCGCGGCCGGCGCTGCATCCATCTTCGCGGAGAAACCGCTCCGCTCCTCCACCGCCTTGGCCGCGCCGGACATCTGCCGCCTCCGATAGTCAAGGAGGCAAGCCAACGAACCAATTGACGAGGGAAGAGAGCTCCGAATCGGTCCAGCACAATGCAGGATGCAGCGGGTCGGAAGGAATCAATTAGAGCAGGGAAGAGACGTACACCAAGAAATGGGAAGCAGCAGCAGTGGGGAAAAGAGACGCTGAGTTCAGATCATAACGAGGACGACACGTATCGATCCGTTAGTTTGTTGACACAAACAACCGTCTTCCCTCCTCCGCTTCCCTTAGCAGCAGATGCAATGTATGCATGTTATATGGCCAAGTCCGGTCCGCTAAGTGGTCTTGGACGGGGCGTGGAAGAGGAGAACGCGATGAAGCGGAGAATTAGGAGATCTCTCACTCCATTATTATTATTATTATTATTATATAGAAACAAAACATGTCTTTGTCGAGAGGTATTGAGAAACCAGAAAACAAATGTTGGTTTTCTCGGAGCACAAATATACTTCACATGACAAAGCAGCAGCAGCGTGTGATGGAAATGGAGACGAGAAGAGAGAAGGAGGGTCGTTCAAACCCATTCAAATGGGTTTACCAAACCGGGATTCTTGATACTATGGACGAATAAATAATTGGAGCGGGTCAAAAGGAGCATTCCGACTACGACTTTTGTTATCCCAGGAGGATTCAAATGTTAGGATCATGTGAACACGCAGACTGCAAAGATCACCGTCCAACACGAATTATAATCAATAAAAGACAAGGAACCATCACAACTCTACTTGAATGTGTGTGTTATTGGAGAACGTTTGCATCCATCACAATCATGGGTTCAAATCGATGAACATAGTTAAGGCTGCCAAAATATTCTCCCAGAAAATGTAGGTTTAAGAACATAAAAAGAGAAGACCAGTCCAAACAAAGGAGATGGAAGAAGATATCATCATATGCTAGCACAAATATAAACATTTCAAGCTGTCTTTAGTATCCATCTCTTGTTCTCTACCTACAAGAAATGCAGCACCTGTGTCAGTGGATCATTTTGTGGCCTGGAAAAAAAATTTATTTAGATTGGATTAAAATGGCACCATAACAATACGAGGAAAATTATTTAGATTGGATTCGGCGTCAGATACATAATACTGCCACTTTGCTCGGTCGAGTGAGTTCAATGCCATCGGATAAAGAGTAGATGTGGGATCATACACATCTCTGGTGAATTGCAGCAGCAAGTTTGAAACACTCGACTGCTAGTACATACAACCAGACCTACTAAAGACAAATGCGCGGCAAACAGAATAGTCCATGTCTTTGTGAAGATCTTTGACACTACTAAACGATGCCGTAAGGCTGATAACTCGATATGGGAGTCTTCAGATGAGAAGCTACATCCAATACATGTTCCAGGTCAACTTCAGGGTAATGTTGGAGAAGTTTCAAGTTTGATACGAAATCGCCACTTAGAAGTTCATGTCTAACACATAGCAACATGGCACAACAGACTCTCAGTAGGATCTCCTGTACAGGGAAAAATTGCTGTGATATGTTACATTTCTAGTATATAAACATGAGGTGCATCTTCAGAACATGTATGATGTTTTGAGACAACAAATATTGCCAATGAAGGCTTATTAATGAAAGCAGAGAAGTCTACCTGCACACCAGAGGGATTACTGAGAAGATAATCCCAAATCCTCATGATAGTTGAGAGTTCAAATTCCTGGGTCAATAGTAAGGTAATCCACCTGAATGCATAGAACTGGGGATTCATCTGTATATAATAGGTAAACGTACCAAGTTCTATTAGTAGGTACTTAGAAACAACAAAGACACCTAGTCACCATAATTAAACCACTCAGAAAAATTTTACATGATGGTATATTTCTCCCAATTTATGCATAAGTTTCAAACAAAACTTGCCAACAATTGATGCTCAAGAGAAAGACACAAAACCTGATTAAATGTCTTTTAGAACCTCTTGTTTTATTTTACCTATGCCATGCCAATGATGTTAGATATATAGCACTTGGATTGTCTTCAATTTTCCTGGCTCTGGGTGGAGAACATAGGTGTCAATTATATGTCTCAGTTTTGAAATATTTTAATGTGTTCAACATACTTTTTCTCTTTCCAGGTAGCTGCAATTTTTCATCTGACACTTCTTTCTTCGGAAAAATCCTTCGCAGTTCATAATTGAGGAACCTATCAACTGTCATGTACCAATACCTTTTCTCTGCTTCACTATTGGTCCATTAGACAAACAAGAAAACATGTATACCTCTGCATATTCACAGTTATTTCTGATATACAATGAACGAAAGGAGGTGATAGAATCATGGAGTAGAGTGCTGGGGTATGCTGCCCAGCCATACATACCACTTCTCTATGGGACTGATAACGGAGTAAAATGCAACAGCATAAGAACAGGTCAAAATGTGGTTTTTGTAACATCTTTTTCGCTGATTTGATATTTTAAGACCCAAAACAAGGTAAATGGCCTTTGGAAAAAAGTGCAAGGCTTGAAAGAAAATAGTTCTCTTCAAGCAATCTTCAGTCTGAGAGGAAAGGAATGAGGAAGAACCAGGTATGCCTTTCCTCCATTCCATACTTCTTTCAATTTTCCATATTCTTTCTCCTCTTCTTTTCATTTTCTCTCTCTAGATGGCTATGTCAGCATGACCCCATGCAACTTTTGATAGGAATGTACCATGCTAATATGTTGACCAAACAGAACTCAATATGGAAATTTCATGGAAAGGGGGTGATCAAAGGAGGCAAAGAAGACCAAGAAATGTCAAACGTAGAACAACTTGCAAACTGAAGTACATCTTATGACATCCTCAACTAACATGCAAAAGACCTGGAAAAATACTATGCGCTATATACTTATGTCTCAATGTTAACCCAAAAATGCAGTAGTCCTTTAGATGTATTTTAATTCTTTATATTTAAGCAATAGTAATGTGACTCCCTGCTTGGGAAAAGTAAAAAAAAAAATAATAATAATAAAATTTATCAACATACCTTAGAAGCATCAAGATGTCGCCAAAGCTCTCCATCATTGGCTTTCAAAAGCTCAGAAAAATGCAAGAGTGTAGAATGAATTCCCACAGAACTATTATCTAATTGTTGACAAAAATGGTCCACAGAACCACTCAATAGTTGAACAAAACATTCAAAACTGTCTGCTTCTGCTTCTGACTGAAGATAGAGAAAATCAACTAGTAAGCTTTCTAAAGCAGTAGAAGCAATATCAGGTCAAGCAGATCATATCATAGACAGTCAAATTCTTACTTTTGGAAGCACGAGTAGCACAAAATTTAGCTATATGAAAGGCATATCTATGATAAGTACCCACCAACCAGAACTTAGAAGATGGAAAAAAGGGAAGTCCAGCTTCAGCCATTTTCCCCATGGTTGGATGGATTTTCTCATTAAATTCCTTCTCCCACATGCGACGTTGCTTTCCATTTTCTAAACGAAGTCCAAATACTTTGTGTTCCCATATTCCACAAACAAGATGCATGAACCCTCAAACAAGGTTCAAGCTTGCTTTCTGCATCAGTTTCCATGTTTTCACTCATATTAATAAAAAAGAAACACAAGTGAAGATGAACTGTCCTCATGGTCAACTTAGCAACACATGTCCCTGTTTTGATCTGATCTAACTAAAACCAACATCAGAAAATATGACAAATACTAAAGAGTTTATCTTCTGAAACCCTCCACTCTTGGTTCTCATCAGAGATTTTCTAAACACACCACCCCACATCTGTGCCAGAATATTCTCTTCTCATTTTAAAATAACATTCTCTTCTCACCTCAAAATATTTTCTTCTCATTTTAAACACATATTTTATATTCATGCTAAGTGTTAGAAAACAGTACACCAGTTAGCTCCCATCACCAAGTTCTCGGAAATCTATCAGTTACCTGCATATGTTCTATATATGTTTTTCCAAGCATTTGAAGTTGTTTCCTGATGAAAATATATCAATTATAAATTAGGGGTTAGTAAATAAGTTGGGTGGTGTGCAATGACCTGCCCTTGATCAATAAATAAGTAATTCCTTCTTTGATTCATTTCCAACTGGTTTCAATCAAAAATGAATTTTATACAGTCAAATCCAGTCAGTTCTGACTGCTACATCCACATTCTATGTCTTGCATTCACTCACTCACACCTGTAACCATTCAGCTAGTGATACCCAAGAAGCAAAGAAGAGGCCCTTTGGTTAGTAATCTTTTATAATTTTTACTGTCTTTTCCCCTTTTTTCCAACTATTGCTAGCAAAAACAATATACTGGTATTAGCAGCCATTTTGCAGGCAATCCTTGCTTTATGCTATGCCTTCAACCCAATAGGTAATCTAGAATGCTATGCATCTCTTATGACTACTTTATATTCCATTTCTTGTCAGAAAATATTAACAACATATGAAGATGGATCTTTCATAATCTCCGGTTGATGTTTCCACTAAACTGCCAAAAGTTATACCAGTTCCCAAAGTCCTCCATGCAAAGCAAGAAAAGATAATAAGAAGGTGCAAGTTATCCTGACCAATAATAGTTAGCATTTGACTAGTAAACCACAAGCTGAAATACCTTTCATTTTTGTAACAAATAGATGTTCATTTTCATAGGTTATTGACCTACCATACAGCAAAACAAAGAATACTAGATATTGGGACTTGGATTCTTCTAGCAAGAAATTTCTGATTTTTTGCAACTCACAAGATAATATGAAAAGCCACAAATGACAGCAATGTCAATCATAAATTCAAACTTATTGAGGTTAGCTAGTATGATCCTTCACTGATGTTGACATCCAATATGAGGGTTACAGAATGACCTTATATAATTCGATGCATGTCAGTTTTCTCTTGACAATGAGCAGTTTCTCAAAATTTAGAAGTTATCAAGAGTAAGGTTCACGTACAGCATCCTCCCCTTCTTGATTCATACGAAATACATAGTATAGTGGAGCCAACACTTCATTCATTCCTTGCACATAACCAATTGCTGGATTCAGTTTTGCAAATAGGAGAAGAATATTCCTCATAGCTTCCTGTCATTATAACAAGCTATCAACAAGTGATCCATTAGAAACAAGTAGTGTTCTAAATTTATAAAGTTAAAAGCAACTACAAGGTTCTTTCTGCTAAATGAGGAATCTCCTGAGAAAAATTTTATATCTTGATGCGTCCGATGAAGATCACGATCAATTTGCTCAACAATCTCTGCATCCTAGGAGATAATATGCATCTTACTTCCATTAGCAGGTAGATGAAGCTATCACAAGTCCAGGATAAGAACTCAGGAAAATTAGTTCACCTTGAAATATTGATTCCAGATGCTACCATTACCAAGGCATAAAGGATGGTCCCCATTTGAGATTTCACGTCGACAAAGTAGTCCACCGGCTTCATTGTCCTGACCTGGCATGCTTGAATTTGATGTCTCGTCCTCCTTGATCAAGAATTCTGACTGACTAATGGAAACTTATAAATAATCGAAAATATACATTAAAAAAGTTGCTGATCCACTTAGGAACACTGAGATACTGAAGCGAAGCTGGGGTTAAGTTTGACACACAAAAAAAGAGACCATAAGCACTTACTGGATTTAGTAAAAGCTCTCTTTTCAGTTCAGCGTATCTTAATCTGTTCTTGGCCAGTTCTCCTTTCCATAAATCTTTTTCAGCAGGTAAATAACCCAACAATAACTGCTTCATAATGATAATCAAAATGTATATCAGTCCACAATTAATAGTTTTCTTTTACAAACTAAAGCAAACGTCAGTATAATCAATGGAACTTTTTGCCTGCAATATTAGTGAAGTAACAGATGTGGATCACAACATGTGCGATAAGTTAAACATGAGCAAGCTGCATCTTGTTTGCATGAGTGACTGTGTTTAATGATATGACTCATGAGCATCACTATCTACCCATATGCTTTTGTGAACAAGTGCAGAATGAGTAAACAAAGTTCTGGTTTCTGGTTCCTTCCCCAGATCTGGAAGGAAAAAGTAGAGCTCTGTATCCACAAACTTCATTTGATGACATGAACATTTTAATAGACGCAATTCACCTATATAACCACAAACTCACCTCCACTTACTTGGTTAAAATGCAGCTTACGGAGGATCGTTGATCTCCTTCAACGTATAGGGAAAAAGTTTACCACTTCTTTTAAAGTGTCTAGATACTCTAGGGTGATACTCTTAGCTGCTTGAAATGGTCAAAGAACCATAAAACTGCACCATATGACAATATTTTTATATGATAAAAGCACAAGTTTCATTTGGGTACTAATGTCATTCAAGTGAAACTGTTGACGTTGTTGGATATCCTAGAACTTGAAGTGACCATGGTTGTTGGATCTACAAGGTAAACAGTTTAAGCTCCATGAAGGTGCTCTGCATTTCACGCTGGAAGGTAATTAAAGACAAATATGCCAATTGCAACTCATCTACTTGCATATTTGAAGATAAAGTTAGTACAACTATATATTCAACACTTGCACACAAAAATCTGCATGCAAATGCGCACACACGCATGCATAACCATAGCAAAATTGATGCATAGGGTCAAGTCATTCTTTCAGAAGTATGGACATTTCACTAAAACAAGAAAACAATTCAATAATTTGAAAATGCAAATAGGAAACTTAACCTTCCAGACAATTGACCGAAACTCTTCAGCAAGATGACCACAAGAAGCTATCGATCGCAATGCTTCTAAATTTACTACTTTCTGGGAAAGCTGTCAAAAAAGTTCGACTAAGAAAAGCAATCTTCTAAAATAAAGAAGGCTATGCGTCACTTGTACACTATATGATTCTAAGAAGGCACAAGTTTGCAAGTTTTACAGCAAAAGAAATGTTGGACCTTTTTTAACGCATAACAAAGCATGTTTGCACTGATGAGGTCTCATCATCACAACATATCAAAATCTCAAAATGAAAAAATATTACACTTTATTCTACCTAATTTCATATTTGCACAATCTGAGTTGTAACCAGTCTTGTAGTGAATGTTTTAAGCAAATATTGGCTTCCTTCTTATCCGAATGATGCTCACTTAGTATTGTAAGTCAACTGACACTTGGTCTTAATGTGACAGTCCCAAAGCATTCAACTTCATCCGACTGTGACCATAAACCTCATCAAACCCTGAAAATGGCCACTCGAACTCGAGGACATTGTTAGTTCATTGAGAACTAGTTAATTATATTGTCCCTTACATTTCGCCACAACAAATGAAATAGGATAACGCAATATTTTCATGGAACAACAGGCTGACAATTTGTTCGTTTTCCCTTTGGGTTGTTATCTATTATCCTTCTAGAAAAATAAAATCTAAATTGACAGTACTAAAAATCAAAGAAAGAAAGAAAGAGAGCACATCAAAGAAGAAGAAGTTATGGGGGGGGCGATTAAGGGACCAAACGAGAAACCCATGCTAAGCCTACAAGATAGGACGAGAAACGTCAGTAGGAAGGAAGCCACCTCGAATTCCAAATCGGACCGCTTATCCCATGAAACCTCCCTGCCGATGTCGATCTTGATCCTGTGGTGGGCCCTCAACACCGTCCAGTTCTCGTCACCGTCATCCGGCCATATTTCCCCTTCAGATCTTTCTTCTCCTCCTCCTCCTCCACCAACCTGAAACGTTCGGAGCTCCTCCTCCTCTCTTCCTTCGTCATGGTCATCCTCCTCCTCCTCCTTCTTCTTCTTCTTCTCGGGTGGTTTGATTCGATCAGGAAAGCGCGGGACGATGGTGTTAGGGAGCCTGATCTTTCCTTTAAGCAGCATCGGTTCTCCGGAACTGAAGGCCACGAAGGGAGGAAGAGGACGAGAGGAAAGGTATGGGTTTTGTCTCCGCCATGGCGGTGGTTGGCATGGAAGGGCATATTGAGGGTGCCGAGGGAGGAGGAGACGAGTAGGTTCGACGGTTAGTTGAAGTACGAGGAGAGCACCGGAGCACGAGATGAATGAAGCAAGCACGTGATGCAGTAATGTACCATTGGACCCGAGTCGAACGTCACGTGCGGTAGACCCGCTCAAATAATTAATGAAATTTTTATGATTCAAAAATAGAACCTTTCATTCTGATATTATAAGAATTTTTGTATTAATATCATTAATACAATCAAAAACCCATGTACAGTCTGATAACACTGAACATGTGATCATAATGATGCTACCTTTGTATATTGCCATTGATGTTATCATCACTATTCACTGCTATTCAATAGCATTTCATTATTGCTGCTATTAAGCCGTTACAACATCATATTAACCCGTGATTCGTTTATTCATAGGCTGCAGAAGTAGACTTAACTGTTGTTGTTTTTTCAATTTGAAAGTATCTATCTTTAATAAATTGTTAATTCTACTTGAAATCAAAGAAATTTTCATATTTTGCAACCAATATTTTTAATAAGTTGTTAATTCAGCAACCAATATTTTTGCAATACCCATTTATGAGTACAAGAAAGTCCTGATTTGTTTTTAGGATCTAAGATTTTGAAAGTGTCCAGCTGCATTGGCAGATCTTATGGACACAGTATTACACATAGGATAAGAGAAAAAAATAGGCACATAGGTTGTTACCGGCTATCAATTGTGCTTGTGCTTGTATTCGGAATCGAGTCACGTGAGATGCAAATATGGTTACCGTGGAACAGTGTTACAATTGCAATGAAATGTCCATGCATTTGCCACAAGACATCCAGTAGATTGCCTTCTTGTGATCAGTGTTGTGATGTCTAAACTAGCCTTCGTGTGTGTGGGGGGTTGTGATGTTGGTTGTAGCGAGTAGGTTAAGTGCAGTAGGGATGGCTTCTGTAAGTTGTGATCTCGGGGATGTGGTCATGACAGCATAAAACCAGATAGAAAGACAGAAGAATCTAGAGAGAAACATTACCTTCTTCCCGAAGCCACATCATTCTCAGGAGGAGGAATTTTGTCGGGAAAAGAACCGCCTTCTCCAAATCACTTAAATCAATAATCACCTTCTATCCTTTAACTCATGTTACTTTATTTAAGTTAAATTGGGATCCCTTAACATTATAGTTTTACGAAATATTTGCTTAAATAACAAATAATAGAGATTAAAGTCCTTCACTATTATTATAAATAATAATAATAAAATCATGGTTTTGGTTTCTCCAAATGATTATCTAAATAAATAAATCATCAACTACATTCTGTGACCATCATACATAGAAATGATAAGATAAACCCAAACTACAAAAATGTTCAGTGGAAAGCATAATATGGACTCAAAGATGCTGATTAATAAGTGTTATCCCCACAGCAGGAGTAGACATCATATTTAACCAGGGTCTACCGTACCGAGCCGTACCGCCCGATATGGGCGGTACGTACCGGTCCGACAGGTTATCGGTATGCAGACCAACTGTTACCGGTCCGAGTGTACTGTAGCACTATAGTAGTACTACAATACTTGGTACGGTATTGCAAACCTTGTATTTAACTATGGGCTAACTAAGTTGCAGGTCCAACATCAAATCAAATCCTAGCGCTGTGTTTCACTTACAACAGGTTACAAATGGATTCAAAACATCTCACATAAAAATAAGGCAATCTCTATATCAATCCCTATATGAGAGAATAAAGAACGCTAAAACAAAATGGCATCTGAAAATAAAAAACAAACTTCTATGTTACAACACCCTTTGTGTTCAGATGGCACACACCCCATCTGAACTTTCTAATCGACGATGACAATTTCTTTCGTCTCAAGATGCAGATCACAGAGTGCAAAGTAAGGAATCCTGTAAATAAAGAACATCTAGCAAATATGGAAAAGTTCATCACAAGCCTATACAGTGATCTCAAAAACCAAATGGAGCCTATCAACCATAACAACCTTGTTATTAAAGTATCATGTGCCTAACAACTCTCAACAGAACAAGGAAGGTAATTCATCAAAGACTAAAAGAGCAGAAATAAGCTCTAAATACTGCAAACCCTATTCTTGAAAAGGATAGCACCATCTTTTAAGATTATGAAAACATCAAAGCGAAGGATATCACCTAAGAATAAGGTAATATCTATATGGATCCCAACATGAGCAAATAAACAATTAAGATTATGAAGGTTATTACCATCCCAACTGAGGAGGACAAGGAAGATGGCTCGGTCCTTCGATCTTGGACTTGCTCCTCCTTCGGAACCATTACCATGTCTCAAAACCCTCCATATTTTTCGATATATATACCATCCAGAGAGAAACACGTGATGTAGCACATGAATGTTGGGAAACTGCCAGCTCATTGCGGATCATGATGTTATGCAAGCGACCACGATAACTATTAGGCAAAGGACCTACATGGCAAAGCATCATCTTTAACTGTCGTTGATTCGTTTCAAATGAACGATCAAGATCTGTTGTTGGAAAAGAAAGGCTTCCCCTTGGGTATCAGTCGTTTAGGAATAAACAAAATGTTATGATGTTACGCTATTAATTACCTTCTATCTGAAGTCATTGAGATTTGCATACTGAACTACTAATGATCTGAACCTACAGAACTTTGTGTAACTTTTTCATTATTTTCAATGTTTTTTATTGCTGTCAAACCAGCACAACGCTGTAAGACATTATGTGACTTCCAGTGCGTGCTCCAAGAATGACTTACCTTGTTTTGAGGATTTCCTATTATATTTGCCATCAAAAAATCTTTCGATTTCAAGGGATTATTCTAAGGTAATATCTATCGGTACAAGTAGATGGTCAGGGAACAAAATGATTATTTGTATTAATAATGAGAGAAAGTTGCAGAATTTCTTTCAGATAAATCATTATATCCATGCCCTACTTATAGCCTCACTGCTTACAGTATGCTAGACTAATCTGGGTAGATGTTAAAAAACACCTTATGCAGGAGTCATGTTTTCATTTGTTAGTTTGTGCAATATAGAAGGTCAATTATCTGGAGAAGACACATTTCTGTTTGTTGCATTAAGAAATGTTATGATTCAGCCTCCACATTTAAGACAAAAAAAAAAAAACGGGGTAGATGCATCATGGAAATAGAGAGTGCAACATGCATACAAGTGTTAGACTACATTAATAGCATGGTCACAAGTCTCATAAACCTTACAATAACAACAACAATAATAACAAAATTGTAAGTCCCAACAAATCTTAAACCCTAAGCTTAAACGCTACAAGTCATGTTTATATATAATAAGCTAAGCACCAAAATTCCAAATAAGTTTGATGTGTAGATAACATACAGTTTTCAAGTATTTGCAGGAGTAGCAGACTCCTATATCTCGCATGATCCTGACTCAGACCGACCAAATAGCGAATAACGACTGTTTGCAACATTGTCATAAGCGAAGTCCCTCACAAACCTATGAGGATTCATCGATGGAGTGTCAGAGCCCAGCTAGAACAGTTGTGCTTGTAATCCTAAACTATGAAAGAAAAGGCATTGTTGAGGGGCCTTACAGAGGAACGATCTTCAAGAAGAAAGCCAGCTGAGGGAACGGCAGGTCAAGGTGCTCCATTATCCTTAGCACTGCTTCCGACTTTATATAAGAACTACAAGCACGAATACAGCATCTTGGTTATGTAAACTATGGTTATTCCCTCAGACACTTGTGCTTCTGAGCCATTTAAGGATCCAGGTGAGGTCCCAACGAGCAATGGTCGGTCTTATTAGATAATGGAAGCACCAATTTATGAGTGTACCAACGATGTGACAGTAAATCACTGAGCAAATGAGAAAGAAGGGAAGGCATGAGACGATTGCGTGCTGGTACGACATACCTATCTTTTTCAACAAAGACGACGCTGGATATGTCGTCGGGTGATCTCCCACATCTCTGCAGAAGTTTCCTGCCGGATTCGCTCTGCAGCGCCTGGTATCTGATTCTTCTGCTCATTAATGTAACATGCCATCAGTTCATTCCTCTCAGGAATTTAGAGCAACAAGAGAAAGAACCGTCGCGTATTGCATGTCAATCAACTATTCGACAATATTACCATGAGAAAAAGGAAAGAACAAGAAGAAATAGGAACAAAGCAAAGCTTTATCCCAATTGAAACAACAGTTCTCATTACTACATGGTCCACCCATGGCTCGCAGAACTCAAAAGGCATGAAGGAAAAGGAAGAGGAGACAACTACCTGTTGGGATCGTTGCCGCGCACGAACCTGACTCCTCCGTTGCACAAATTGCACACGCCTGCCATCACCGATCGTACACCAAGAAGTAAAAGATCATAGAAGGGATTCAATGGGAAGGGAAGAAAGAGGCAGCCTGGTGTCGGTGTTACCATCGAAGAGCATGATGGGCCTGGAATCGCTTTGGAAGAACTCGGCGTTCGTGGCCTTGACCGAGTCGACGGCGGCGGAGGGTGGAGATGGGGTGCGGAGAGCGGCCTGCGGCGCCCGAGCTCGCCTGAAACGAACCGGACTTGGAACGATAAGCCGAGCGCGAGGCACAACCGGAAGGACGCTGGCCATGTCGCTAAGTCTATCAGTGGGAGGATAAGGAGGAGGAGGAGGGTCGATTCTTCCGTCGTCCTCCGCCTTTAGAGCTCTTGTTCTGTTACCAGAGTCCGTTTGGGATGGGTAGAAAACAAGTGTGCCCGGCTCGAGCCACGGTACATGGACATTGCGAACCACATAAGTTTTATGAACACGTTTTTACATCTCTGTCCTCATCGAAGTTTTATAAATTTATAGTATGATATTATTGGGCCTAAATTTTTTTTCAGACGAATTTCGAAAAAAAAACTCTTGTTTTAAAAAAACTTTCAGTTAGTGTCTCAATTTTCAAGAATTTCAAGAAAGTAATCTTTATTTTAAAATAATAATATTATCTTTATCGGTGAAACGATTTAAATACGTCCAACCAATTCCAAGTGGCCTGACGACTACTCAGTGTGTGTCTCATGCGACGGTCATTCGCTGTTCGAAGCCGCCTCGTTCCATCTCTCTTGGCCCCGACCGTCCGTCACAGACCTCTTCTCCGCTCCTTTCTCTCCCACCACCAACTGGTCGACGAGATCACGCATCCAAATCCCGCTCCCACATGCCCGGAGAATGCCGCCACCTTCCGTCCTCTCCAAGTCATCAGGGATCGGCTCCGATCGGAGGCCTCCCTCGACCCAGCCACTGTCGTCATGTCCCTCAAGCAGTGTCGCGGCCGACCAGGCCTCCAGATCCACGCCCTTGCGCTGTCCTCCGGCCTCGACGCGTACGTCATCGTCTCCAACTCTCTCATTAACATGTACTCCAAATCTGGCTCCTTCGACCTCGCTCGCAAGATATTTGACAGCATGTCTTGCCCCGATGTCGTCTCGTGGAACACCATTCTCTCCGGGTTTGCTTCCGGCGCGGAAGCGCTGGAGTTCGCTGCACTCATGCGTCGAGCAGGTGTTCCCTCCGACCCTGTGACCTTCACCATGGTGCTCGCCTTCTCCGCGGACCTTCAGGACTTGGAATCGGGGCAGCAGTTGCACTGCCTTGTTCTAAAATCTGGGTTCGACTCCGACATTTTTGTCGGGAATGCACTCATCACCGCATACTCAAGGGCTGCCTGCGCCGACGAAGCCAAGAGAGCGTTCGACGAAATGGCGGTGAGGGATTTGGTCTCGTGGAATTCGTTGATCTGCGGGCTTACTCAAGACGGCGACTGTGGAACCGAAGCCATCGAGTTCTTCCTTATGATGGTGAGGGAGGAAGGTGTCAGGCCGGATCGCATCTCGTTGGCCAGCGTCATCTCGGCGTGTGGTCACGAAGGAAGTGTAGGCTATGGATGCCAGGTTCATGGCTTCGCAACGAAGTTAGGGGTGGAGGACCATGCCTCGGTCTCTAACGTCCTCATGTCGATGTACTACAAACACGGGGACATCGTTTACGCCAAGAGGGTGTTCGAGAATATGACGGAGAGGGATGTCATCGCATGGACGACCATGATATCGATCGAGTCGGAAAACGCAATTCCTCTCTTCAATGGCATGAGACAGGACGGGGTGCAACCCAACGATGTCACTTTCGTCGCATTAATCTTCGCTGTGTCAGACGAGCACCTGATGAGAGAGGGACAAATGGTTCATGGAGTCTGCTTCAAAACCGGGATCGCTGCGGAGGTGAATGTTTCCAACAGTCTTATAACCATGTACGCGAAGCTGAAATCCATGGAGGAGGCGAGGAGGGTGTTCGACGGAATGCACTGCAGGGAGACCGTCTCTTGGAATGCTTTGCTCTCAGGATTTGCTCAGAATGGGCTGCGCGAGGAAGCTCTTGAGGTGTTCTCCTCGTTGATCGGGCACTGCCAGCCAAACCAGTACACGTTCGGGAGCGTCTTGAGCGCGATAACCGCAGCTCAAACGGTTTCCTTGACTTACGGTCAAGGTTGCCACGGCCGCATCATCCGATTGGGTCTCAACACCGACGCCTATGTCTCTGGTGCTCTGATCGACATGTACGCGAAGCGCGGAAGCATCGACGAGGCCCAGAGAGCATTTGATGAGACTGTCGTGAAGAGGCTTGTCGGTTGGACGGCGATCGTATCGGCCCACGCAAAACACGGGAACTACGAGGAGGTGATGAGCCTGTTCGAAGGGATGAAGCACGTGGGCGTCCGTCCCGATCACGTCACGTTCCTCGCGGTGCTGGTTGCCTGTGGCTGCAAGGGGATGGTCGACGAGGGCCGGAAGGTGTTCGACTCGATGGTGCAGGAGCACGAGATGGAGCCATGGGCAGAGCACTACGCGTGCGTCGTGGACATGCTGGGGAAGGCGGGCAGGTTGGACGAAGCAGAGGAGTTCCTGAGACTGGCACCAACTCCGCCAGGAGTCTCGGCGCTGCAGAGCTTGCTGGGGGCGTGCCGTGTGCATGGGAACGTGGACATGGGGAGCAGGGTGGCGGAGGCTCTGATGGAGCTGGAGCCAGGGGAGTCGGGGGCCTACGTGCTGATGTCGAACATCTACGCCGATATGGGAGACTGGGAAAATGTGGCGAAGATGAGAAGGGGGATGAGGCAGAGAGGGGTCAGGAAGGAAGTGGGTTTCAGCTGGGTGGATGCCGGCATCAGGGACGACTCCATACACATGCACAAATTCTCATCGGGCGACAGGACCCATCCATGGGCGGAGGAGATACACTCCATGGCTCGGAGTTTGGGGTCGGAGATGAAGGCGAGGGACGAGGACTGGTCCGACATCGATCTCGCTCGGTTGCCGAATCCCTGATACAGGACAGCAGGACAAGTAACTGTTCCGGAAGTGGCCAGCGGCGGATTTGACCAGATCGTGTAGCCCTCGACTACTTAAAAGATGTATGGAGGAACAGAAAGAAGGAAGATAGTACCTCATTTTGTAGCGCCCTTTCCAGTATACATTTAGTATTTATTTATACTTTTCTTATCTCCCAGTGTAGTCTGATCCAAATAGGTAAACATGGCATAAACAGCGTGGAAGGTAGCTCACTAGAATAAAATATAGAACAGGCAAAAACGAAAGTAAACCAAATAAATACTATGATCACCATAGTTAGGAAATTGCAAAAATGATTTCAGTTTTGACTTACAGGGAGCAAAACAAGAGCTCCAATGCATCCCAAAAACCTTAACATTGTCCACTGAATCAACAAAAATATACTGACACCAGCCAGGAGGTCCTAAACGAAAGAAGAAAAACCAAGAAAAAGAACTAAATTTCAGAAGCTTCCATGATAGAGTCAGCAAGCTATTACTGTGTTAGTCAGAGAACACAACAGTTCAAACCCAACCATTGGCAATGATTGACCCATAATTAGAGCCGTCGTTCTCAAACGCATTATTGCCATCAGTTATATCATTACCTCCTCCATATGAGCTAACGGAGCGAGTTCCTCCCACAGTGGCACTGATTGCAACATGATCTAAACGGTGGTCATCCCAAGCATCATTGCCATCGGTTACAATATTGCCTCCATATGATTTAACCGAAGGATTTCCACACCCAGTACCTGTCCTGTAGTCGCGGCCACCAATGATTGGCTCATGATCAAAACCGCCGTCAGACGCATAATTAACATCAGCTATAACATTACCTCCTCTGTGTGAGTTAGCCGCAGGGCTTCCTCCGCCGATATCCTTCCTGAAGTCACGGCCACCAAACCTTCTGGTACTAGACCCTCGTCTCCTCCCGCCACCATATGATGGCCGAGCAACATGGTTATAAAGCCAGTCCGGGACCTCTTGGTTAGCATCCTCCATGCACTCGGTAAGCGACTTTGCCAGCCGCTGGTTTCCCTCGTTAAAGAATGCAGTAGCCTTACCAGTCTTTCCAGCTCGGCCTGTCCTTCCAATCCGGTGAACATAGTCATCTATGTCTTTCGGCAGATCAAAATTGATGACAAGAGCAACATGTGGGACGTCCAGTCCGCGCGACGCAACATCAGTTGCCACCATGACAGGAGTTGCACCGCTCTTAAAGGATCTCAAAGCACGCTCTCTTTCCTTGATTTCATCCAAACAGCAAATATTAGGATAAGAAAAAAATTTCAATATCAAAAAATTAAGCAACAAATTATATGGTCTTTTTAGTCATGGATCTAAGACAAGACACTGACATTAATGGAAGACAAAAAAAATACTTCGACAATTGTACAAATGCACATCGAACGGCTCTTTGGAAGAGGCCAATGTGAATGGCTTACATAAACCAGTGAATCTGTTGAACCTTTCAATAGATTCAACCTAAGTTGGTTCTTTAGGTGGGTTATGTCAAATAAACAGACTCCTATTTCAATAAATAATGAATATGATTGCAGTGGGAAAAATAAGCTACAGAATCAATATCATCCATATGATCAGCTGAACTCTCAAATAAAAGATCACCAAAAAAATTCTGAAGTATGGAACTTCATTCTTACTACAATCTTCATGTAATAGTAGCATAAACCTGCAGATTGTGGTCTGAGCACGGGCTGAACAACCATAAAACCTTCAGTATATGGTCTGACAGACACCACTTATTGCTTCACAATTACATAATAAAGTTAGATGGAATTGCTAGGTGTAAAGTAATGGTGCTTATTTTAAACATTTTTTCTCAAAACAATATACTTAGTTTAGCCATGAGAACCAATCACATGAATATAAACACAAAATTCATTAGAAAATTCCATTTAAAAAATAGCTACCAAGATATCCAATTGCTCCTTTTTAGAATTACCAATTATTTCCTTATAGAATTACAATTACCAGACCAATTAGAAGTTATTAAGAAAAACAAAGAATAAATCCAAATTGAAAAACCATCCAGGTAAGCAAAGTAGATGAAAAGTTATGTAATGAAAAAATGATCATGATATTTGTCAAAACAAAAGAAATCTCCATACAATAGGACAACCGATGCCATTTTATGGCATCATCACAATCTTAACATAGTATTGAATGATTCAGTATGTCAATGAACATCACATGATTCAGGCTCTGAAATTTAGATGATGACAGAATTAACATATTTTTATCTTTTAACCAATTTAATTAGTAAGATAATAATGTTTAGCATGATAACATTTAAACATGTCATTCAACATGGTAACATTGAGGAACAAAGATACAGCAAAAAAGTGAGTGCAGGATTGTTAGACATGTAATAAGAGAAACACAACAGCAAAACACATGCACAGGTGAGAGGTGGTCAAGAACCAAGTCCTAGCCGCTTCCAAGCAAGTTATTTCTTTTGGGGTTTTAGGCAATAGGACAAAAAAGTTACACTAACTTACTGGCTGAGTTTTATCGCCATGAATAGATGTTGCAGGAAACCCAGTTTTAGACAGCCAGCGCTCCAAGGAATCAGCTGCTCTTTTGGTTTCCACAAAAACTAGTGTCAACAATTGCTGCAGAAACGAAAACATGTTATTAACTATCACTATGAAGAAGTTAGCAACATAAAAAGAACACTGCATAAAGGACAAACAGCAAAATAATCCGGCACAGAAGAAAAATATTTTTTGGGCCTAGAATCAAAGGGCATATTGTAGCCAATAATCTTGAATTCTGACGTAAACACAAAGTGGTTGTCTATGATATTAACCCAAATAAAATGAAACATTAGCTGAATACACACAGAGTACATGGAAGAACAATAATTCTTAGGACCTTGCTGTGAATTCCATTTTCTCTCTGTGCATGAAGAAGATCCACCAGGCGACCTCTTTTATCCACATCAGGAACATATTCAACTCTCTGAGAAATTAAATCTGTGCTAGATCCGATCCTTCCAACAGTCAGAAAAACATAATTTGATAAAAAGTCTGAAGCTAAACGCTGCATAAGGAGACAACCAGTATTAATTTCACATAAGAAAGTTTGCAAAACTCAGATAATGAATCAATCCAATAGCACAAATAATTTATTTCTCATTAAACATACTTAATCAATAAAGACATAGAAGATCTCTTTCTTTATGTTTCTTTAGTGTCTGTAGATCTATGTGAGGTAAATAGATGCTCAGCTTCAACCGCAAGTTATTATAAGAATCCCATCGATGATCATACACATGTGAATAAATGACACAAGGTGACATATGTTAACCTGTATCTCCTGTGGGAAGGTTGCGCTGAAAAGCATGGTCTGCCTTAGGCCTGGTGGCGGCATGTCCATTTGCTGGACTATTTTGCGGATCTGGGGTTCAAAACCCATATCCAGCATCCTGTCAGCTTCATCTAATGCCAAATATTTGATCTCCTTAAGAGAAACCTTTGCTCTCTCTAGCAAATCCAGTAAACGGCCAGGTGTGGCAACAAGAATCTCAGCACCTTTCTCGAGATCACGCAGCTGTTGATCATGCAATAAACACAAGGATAAAACAAACACCAAAAGAAGCAAATTAAATTAGGAAACAATTACATGCCAAATCAAAAAATTCACGGAATGGAAACAGATCTGTACATGGCAAAGTACATCTAACAAAACTACTTCATAAAGACATGCAAAAGCTACACAGCAAACACACTTAATATTATGATGGTGCATTTTACATTGTTCAAATATTTAAGAAGAAAGACTGATTATTTTCACAAATCATTACTATCTTTCATTTGGTTTCACGCGAGAAGGGACATGATATGGCATTCAGAGTTCTTAGACTAATCCTGAAATCTAACAGCAACACTGATGTCACAGAAATAACCACAAATAATAATCACAGAAAAATATAAAATCAGTAACTGATAATAGTGTAGATTGAACTCCAAGTGTCACTCCATACAACAACAGATAGTAGCGATCAAAGAGGAGCAAAATCATGCGTCTAATTAAGTGGTTATGTAAATAGAATGTAGTCAATGAAACAATGAAACTACATATAAGGCAGTTTCAGACCATCGTGAAGAATAATCTAAACATAATTTGACTCACGCCATTGCTCTCAACAATCACATCAGCATGTCAAACCACAGATTTCCCAGTACTGCATTATAGAATATACTGTCAATCCAGCAAGAAGTCGACAAGATTGTGCAGAAACTAAAAGTGCCCCATCCATTTTATCTAACAATGACAAACACATACTACCACATTACTTATAAAGGACCAAAAAAATTCAGTAACAAAAAAGCAGCACTAGCAGAAGTCTTCAATGTCTTGATGAAATTAGTACTCCTGTATCGAAGTCACATATCTAATTGAAGAAAAGAAACAATACTACACGAAAATGACTATTTTACATCCTCAAATTGACATCAAATAAGTTGAGAAATGTGGTACAATGGATAGATGCTTTTTGAGGTTCCTTTGGTATCTATAGTTATTTTTTTAGTGACAATACACTCTCTCACTACAGAAAGAATCTATTAGTCTTCCACTGCAGAAAACCTGAACTAGTAAAACGTTCAAAAGTTGTGCAGATTATTAGAATTTTGCAGTCAATATCAATGTACCCTTAATGTATGCAAAATAATGACGCTTAATAATGTACAGCTAGAGGGAGCTATTAAATATACCTGATGACCGATGGGAGTTCCTCCGTAAGCCACGACAACTCTGACCCCTGTTTGATAGGCAAACTTTTTTGATTCCCCAAGAATCTGTGATGTGAATCGCCATGCGAAATAGGACAAAGGCAATGAATCAAAAACATGAAGAATATATAAAGCAATGTAAGTGAAGCTCATGCCGAACCTGGCACGACAACTCCCTGGTGGGGGACAGGATAAGTGCACGAGGCAAGGTAGTTCGATCACCGCCAGAGGGCCCCTTGGTCGGGAACTGCCGGCGGTTTCTCATTACACCGCTGATGATCGGGAAGCAAAATGCAGCGGTCTTCCCCGACCCGGTCTGGGCACAGGCCATCAGATCGCGCCCGGCCACCAGTATGGGTATAGCGTGTCGCTGGACCGGAGTAGGCTTCACGAATCGGCAGCGCTGAATGTTCTGGTTCAGGGCCTCCTCCAGATCGATCCCCGCAAAGGTTGTAGCGGGCGGGGGCACATCAAGCCCGCTCACCTCGACGGGTATGTCGTCGTAGGCGTCGAAGTTGATCCCCTCGCCACCGCCGCCAGAAGCGTCATTATCCGATATCCCCAAGCCGATGAACTCGTCGGCGATTTCAAAGGGGTTCCGCTCCCGTCGAGCCTTACCACGGCGGGAGCGGTGGCCAGAAGCTCGACCATCAGATTCTCGGTCACTGGAGCCGCGGCGGTTGGGAGGGATGCGGGGGGAGGATTGGAGGAAGGAGGGGGCACGATGAGGAGGAATGTCGAATCGACAAGAAGAAAAGGAGTTCCCAAATTGATCATACGAGTTCCTGAGAAAGCGAGGGACGTAGGTGTGGCGGGTTGCAGGTGCTGCCGGATCCGGGATGGTCGGCTCCGCCGCGGCGTCAGTCAACGACATTGCCATCACCGTCAGTTGATCAAGGAATCAACGGACTAACTGTGCTCTTCTCTGCAACTGAGAAGAGATCGTGCTGAGAAGACCAAGGAGTCAAAAGCACCAATGACAAACGAGAAATCTGAGATGGAGCCAGAGGAGTGAAGAGAAAAAGAGCAGAGAGAATATCTCTACCACCACTCGTCTCCTTTTCCCAAGAGAAAGCCAGCGAAATCTTAAATGCCACTCACTAAAGCGAAAAAGAAGCTGAACCCTAACCTCGTTCTTCTGTTGTTGCCAACGGAGAGCGAGGAGGGCAGACAGAGAATGCGGAGGGACACCATCCCCGAAGGGGAAAAACTTCAGAACCCCTCGCTGCCGATGATTGAACGAGAGAGCGAGCGAATCTTTGAGAGAGAAGCGATGGACAAGCCGCTTCCGTGTTCGTGTGTATGTGTGCGTGTGGGGATGGGCGATGGGGATGGGGATGGGATTTGGGTGCGTTGTGTTTGGGAGAAGGAAAAGAACCTCGGAAAGGAGCAGACGCAGGGGAACGCTCGGGAAGTGGAAGAGGATGGCCGTTCCGTTTTCGCTCGTGACGCCGCGGTACGCATGAATCTCACGTCGTGTCACATGCGGCGGGGAGATCGTTTTTGATTCGTGGGCGGACATGTGGCGGTTGGGCCAGAGTTTGACATCTGCCGTTTGCTTGGAGATTTGTGAACCTGCTAGATCAGATGTGATGGGTTCATAGAGTAGCAGGAAGATGAAGGACATTCGATTTAGATGAAATGTCTTCGACGATGTTTAGTCCATATAAGCATAAAAATTATAATAATGCTTCTATTATATAAAAAAATTAATGTTAAGAATTAAAATCAAATAACTATTGATCAAAATTTAGATATACATATTTTTTTTTTATATCATTCAGAAATCTTTATTTGATCTACAAGAATAACATTGTTTGATACAAAAGTTATAATAATACTAATATGCAAAAAGAACTAGATTTACTTTCTATCATTTCATAGAAAAGATTGATGAAAAGATGAAAAAAGATTTATAATATTTTTTTCATATATTGTTAGATATTGAGTTTTTAGAAAGTCTCATCTATTTATATATAAGAGAAGAGGGTCTGGAATATATAATTAGAAGAGTCTCTCCTATTAAGATCATCTCCTAAAGATATATATTATAATTAGATTTTTTTCTTGTTGGCGAACTATAATATATCTTACCTAATTAAATAGGATCATAGAACCTAATATTTTCTCACTTATCCATTAATTGATAAGATATAAAAAAATTAAACTCAAAATAAATAAAAATAAAAAATAATTTAAAAAATAATTTTACTAAATTAAATTCTAAAAGTTTTAAAAAATATTTTACAAGTGTATAAATTTTATAAAATATATCAATAAATTCAATAAATACACAACAATACTATATTAAGTTTAATTATGAATATGATCAAAATCTTTACATATTATCAATTTCATACTCTCATCTATATACCATAATAATGTTATTCTTTCCTAATATAGTCTATAATAACCCATATAATTTTTCTCATCAAAATAATCTTATTATCATACTTAATTATAATATGCATATACATAAATATAAATAAGATAATAAAAATAAAATACTTTTAATTAAGTAAAAAATATCAATAATAGTATCCACTTCAATATGCATCATCATATTTTTATGAGTTGCACACAAAATAGATCTCCACTAAAAAATATTATTTTCACAATCTCATTTTTAAAAATTAGAAAAAATATTTTATTACAATCGATGTTTTCTTTATGAAAAAAATCTTTAGCCATAAGTTTGGTTTTATATCGTTCAATATTTCATTTTGAGTCATGTTTTATCTTAAAAACTTATTTGCAATCGATTCTTTTATAGTTATTGAGAAATTCAACGGGTTCCTAAATATCATTCCAATGCATCAATTTCAACTCTTTCATTATTACATCGTATCATCTTTCAGAATCGCTATTGTATTATTAGATTTCGCTCCCATTACTTTCATCCTTTTTTAAGAATATTGTATTACTAAATTTTACTATCATTGCACTATGATAAAATAATATGATCTATATCCATTAGAATTTTTTTTATAAAACTAATAAAAAATTTAAAAATAATTATTGGACTTAATTTCTTTTCATATGAATTGGAGATTCTATCTCGAGTTTTTTACTCATTGTGATATTTTTTCTTTATATGCTTAGCTTACTTTTTTTTAATACAATCTATACAGATAGTGAAGTATAAATCTTCCTAAATATTATTATTTACTAATCTTTCAATTCTTTACTTCAAGATATGCCCCAAACGTTCGTACGATAAGATAAAAGATTTTTCATTATTAAAACTATATTTTAATCCTACATTTGATTGTATAGTCACTAATATCTTTGCAAAATCAAGATTCAAATTAATTATGTATAGGCCATTATATAGAATTTTAAACTATATGTTGAATCTCAGATTTTGATGATGAAATCAATTGATAAATTATTGATCTAATATATATATTAAGATAAGTGTTGTAGGTTTAACTATGATAATGAATAAGGCATAAATTAGATGTTGGGCCAGATTTAAAGATCAGACGTCATGACAAAGATTTGGACGATGTGCCGAAAGCTTGCCAAGAGTTCATCGAGAGTTCACCAAAAGCATGCGAAAGTTCACCGGAAGTTTGTTGAGACTTTGTCGAAAGAATGATTGACGTACCAGACAAAGATTGCTTAGTTAATACCCTAATTATCGTAGTTAGAACCTATATTGAGTTAAGATCGAGAGGTAATCTCATTAACTCAGTTAGGAGCATACTAAGCCCAAAATAGGGTTGAGTTGGGCCGAATAGAAGGCCCACTCGACCACTTGGAGCTTTGCTAGGCTGTGGCACCGCCCAAGGTGGGCGATGGAATCGTTTGAGACTCGGCCTCCTTGGTGGTTTGGGCGGTGGTACCGTCGACAGTTAATACTGTCAGGCGATGGTACTGTCCTATCAGGCAGTGGTATCGCTAGAGCCCAATCTTCGAGGCTCTATCAAATGAAAGTACATTCATACTCGATGATGGTACCACTCAATGTTAGAGTGTCATGCGGTGGTACCGTTAGTATCCCGAAAATTCGAGAAGAGACACTTTTTGACTCCAATTCTAAAACATTTGGGGCCTATATGCTAGTTATATGTGTCCTACAAGTCAATCACATGAGTAATAACACATATGACTTAACACACAGTCTTTTTACTTATTATTATTATTTGATATTTTATCACTTTATATTGACTATTGTTTTAATATATTGTGATGTTCATAGATCTATGCAATGTGAATCAAATCATGATTAGATCACGACAATGAGATCGATTCGCTTTTAAATACAGATCCTAAATAATCCTGGTCATAAATTACTCGAGAGAGATATTGAGATAATCGAATAGATTGGTGTGTTGTGTACCCATTCATATGATGGATGCAACTGGTCTCATACCTGCTTGTGTGGGGACACTAGGGATACAGTATAGATACTCATTGGAGAATGAGTTCACTGATTGATCCGCTTATGGAATATTGGATGGTTGATGATGCCTTATTATCAAGCAACAAATTCGTAGTCCTAGTGATGTATCTGGTCCTTAGACTTGAGACACCAAGAATGTCTTATATGAGTACTTCATTCTTTGATACCATACTTATATGTATGAAGGTTCCAAATCAAGCACAACCGATCATCGGGAGTGGTAGCCAACCTTACGAGGATTGTTGATTATCGATAAAGGATCATTCATTATCAGTATTATGAGAGGAATATCTCATATGTTCTTGCTCAAACAAATCCCTAGCTAGAGTTATTCGAATTGAGAGAGAAAGAGATATCTGGGAGAATCTGATTAGAACGAGACTCAAGTAGAAACTATATGGGTCTGATAGTACCATGCTTGGTATACGGTCTCTGGGATATTAGATAGATAAATGACTATAGGTACACGGTAACTAAGGATAGATATGTCCAATGGATTGGATTCCCATGTATCATTTGAGGACTATAGTGTATGTTGAATCTCGGATTTTGATGATGAAACCAATTGATAAGTGTTTATGAATTAATCTGCGTTTTGAGTGGCGCGGGATGCTTCGATCAGGATGAGATAATTAAAGCAGGAAGAATCATGTTGGACCAGTGGAACATGTTAGAAGATTGGACGTCTAGTCGGAGGATCGGATGACGTATCGATAGAAGGCTTCGAGCCATAGATTCAGGCATCGGGCTAAGAAGAGCAAAAATTACGCTAAAGATATCGGAATTGCGGAGGTCAACTAGCCAATTGGGCAATAGGCCTCAAGAGCGGACGATGTGTTGAAGAATCGGGTGAAACGTCAATGGACCAATGATATGCTGGACAACATGATTCATGCTTAGTAATAATTGTCTAGATCGAAGTGTGTTTTTATATATACAAAATTAACTATAATATTAAGGCATAAAGCAAAATGAAGTCCCGGAGTTAAGAACACGATTTCATTGGGAGTTCGAGAGTTCATCGGAAGTCTAGACGTTCGTTGGAAGTTCTGCAGGAACTAGTCGAGAAGTCCAGGAGCTTGACGAAAAAAACTTCTAGACGTTCATCGAAGTTCTATAGGAACCAGCCGAGAAGTCCAGGAGCTTGCTAGAAGAAGCTTATCGGAACTCGCCAAGAATATCGTCGTGAAGTCCAGGAGCTTGCCGGAAGTCCGTTGGAACATTGTCGGGAGATTGTCGGAAGTTCACCGGAAGATCGTCGGAAGCTTGCTAAAAGCTCGCCGGAAGAAACCAAGACCTAAGGACTTATTTAGCTTAAGTATGCCTTATATTTTATAGTTAGCACGTAATTGGGATTGGATTTGGGCCAACCCAATTATGAGCCAATTGGGCCCATGTAAGGATTGTGCTGGGCCCAATGAAAAGCCCAAACAGTGACCCAAGAGATTGCACCATCGTGGCATAATCTTCGAGATTGTGTTAGGCGGTGGTACCGCCCAGTGCAGTGTCATTGTCAGACTAATACTGGTGGTGGTACCGCCCAGCACAAGCAGTGGTACCGTCCGAACCTAGGAAACCCAGGATGTGATGTTTTTAGGCTCCAAGTTTGAATCAACTTGAGGCCTATAAATATCCCTCTCATCCTTAGTTAAAAGACACAAGTACAGAGAGTTTAAAAGTGAAGAAATACTATTGCAATCACTTAATAAATCCCCTCCTCTAGTCTAAGTTTAGAATTCTGTTTAGGAGGAGTGAGAGCTTGTAAAGGTTGTCTCCTAAACTTGTGAAAAGGATAAGAGGGATGTAGGAAGGAGGTTGATCTTCGGCTATTA